TCGTTTTGCATTTAGCTCAACTTTTTAATATTTGCACCCTTGGTCCTCGAACTATCAAATTGTTGCGTTTTGGTCCTTCTTCGGCTCTTTTCTCCTGAATTCCACAATTTCCATTGAATTACCTACAATGCATGAATTTAACTGGATTAAGTCACAATTCAACCATTTTATCCCTGTTTAAGTCATGTTTGTGAACCAAATAAGTGTGTAAAAACACACTTATCAACATCATTTGACAAATATTTATAAATGTGGAGTCTCTTGCCAAAGTGGATGTTCCTACACCATAAAAGGTGAAAATATGCCCAAAAATTGTAGATTACATCTTCATTGTCTATGAACGTAATAGTAGTACTTATCGATTTTCTATGCATGAATCTAAAATCCTAAACATACAAAAAAAAATGATAATGGAATCAAGAAATATTTTTGCTCTTCGATCATGTATTTCTATATAGATCCAAAGAGGAAGTAAACTTCTCTAAGTGTACACATAAAACTCTTGTTAAAAATAGTCAGACCAAGGAATAAGAGAGGAAGTTGAAATTGAATCATAACAAAGCACAAGAGCAAAGATAGAAAAATCTTTTGGCTCCGATTTTTTTTGAATTATACGTTGAAAAATGAACATCAAGTCTTCCAAGAAACTGTCCCTAGAAAGACCTAAATGGAAAGAGGGAAATAAAGAGAAATAAATTCATTTCCCAAAATCATACATGGAAATTGGTAGATTTTTCAAGAAGCAGGTGGAATCACCGAGAAGTATAAGTAGTGATAAAAGGTTAAAGACAATGAAAAATCATTGATTACTTTGATACATATTCTTCCGTGGTGAGAATAACATCTATTGAGATGATAATTGGGAGCAACTCTATAAAATCTTAAAGTATATCAAATAGATATAAAAATTGTATTTTTGAATGGAGATTTAGATGAAGAAATCTTTATGGAACAATTTGAGCGTTTTCTTCACCACGGCAAGAAAATAAATTTCGTAAATTGGTAAAGTCATTGTATAAATTGAAACAATCACCAATACAATAGCATTAAAAGTTTGACAATTTCATAATGTAATGTGTAATTAATATCAACGGTATGATAAATATGTTTACGTCAAAGACATTGAGAATGGCTACGCGATTTTATGTTTGTACATTGATTATATATTTATTGTTGGTAGCAACAATAAGATAATTAAATCTATTAAAGATAAGTTGAATTAAAGATTTTAGATTAAAGATATGGATTTTACTCATGTGATTAAAATTTCAAGAACATCATAAGGACTTGCTCAAAGTTAGTTACATTATGTTGACAAAATTCTTGAAAAAATTAACGATGACGATTTTGACGTGGCAATATCGATATATACAAGTCAACATTTATCAAAAAATAAAATTAAGAATGTTTTTCAAGTATAGTACTCTATAATTATTGGAAGTTTGATGTACTTGATAAGTTATGCAAGACTAGATATAGCTTATACATTTGGTGAACTGATTAGATTCACGAACAATCCAGGAGGTGGCCGCTAGAAAGGAAAAATAAGAATACTTAGATACTTAACATATACTCATAGCTGTGGAATGTACAATGCTAGACATCCTATAGTTATTGGAATATACATTGATGCTAACTTGATATATGATATAATAGACTCATAGTGTACAAGTAGATTTGTGTTCATATTAGAATATGCAACTATATTATGGAAATCTTCTAAACAGACAGTAATAGCCAAATCTACTATAAAATCCGACTTTATAGCCCTGGACAAATGTAGCGAAGAAATTGAGTGGCTATGCAACTTCTTATAGGATATTTCAAGATGGACGAAGAATGTGCTAGCAAACTGCATACATTATGATAGTTAATTTGCGGTTGGAATGGCACAAAGCAATACGTATATTGGTAAATCAAGAGATATAACTATAGACATTACATAATGCCATTAGACAAAAATTCTCAATTTGAGTTATAATTGTTGACTACGTGAGTTCAAAGTCAAAAGGTTGAACGAAAAGTTAGTTGGAAAGTTATCGAAAGAGAAGTCACTTAATCCCTTGAACAAATAGTTAATGCAATCGATGTCCAATCTAGCTGACTCGAGACCCCAAGATCTAGGTTTGAATGGACAGCCTAATTATAAAGATTTAATTAGATCATTGTAGGGGAATGTTATCTCTTGTCCATTCTTATGATGTAACAATGTGCCCATAAGGATAAAGAATAAGCAACAAGCTTTTAATAATTCTTATACCTTGGAAAACATAGTAATGCGGGTTACTTATAATTAAGAAATCACCTATATGAGAGATAAATATGGCATTTCTAATAAAATTGTTTAGAGCTCAATTTTTAGAAACTCTCATAGAATCAAACATATGTTCATGGCTACAAACGAGTATAACAATGGATAACTGAATTGTGTCGAGAGCACTCATGTGTGAAGTATATCATCATTTACACAAATTATGATGTTTCAAAGACATCATATCTATTGGCCAGCTAAAGTAAATATGCTTTCATAGGGAAAGGTTTAAAGGATAATGCCTACATACGCTATATGGGTTTCGACCAATAAACTTTTTCACCAAATTTTTATTTCTTCCATTTTTGTTTTTCTCTCAATTTTCATTCATATCTGAGGTTGTAGGAAAATGGCTTGAACATAATGATTATTTTAGCACAATTTTGAGTGGGATAACTTCTTATTGAGGATTATTTTAGCACAATTTTGAGTGGGATCATTTCTTATTTTTAGAAAATCAAAGTAGATTCTAGCTCTTCTTCGTGAGAACGTTAAAATCATATATTTATTTTCCAAAACAATACTAGGATGAATGAGAAATTGGAGTTTAAAGTTTATCAATTGGAAGAAATTTATGTGTTAAATGGAAAACTAATGTAGCTCATCTCACATAGGAAAATTGGTAAGGCAAAGACTAGTTTATAAATAGTCACACTTTATGAAAGTGTAATCATATGTAGCATATGTGCTCTCTTTATGTGCATGGGTAGGAGGTGCAAATTATGAATCGAATTACCACCTCGGTCTATTGAGCTCGTGTTTGAAGTAATCATACTACACGATTGTCGAATCCAAATTAACTCATTATTAGGATCCACATTTTACCTATATTTTTCATAGTTTTAATTTCCAATTGCCCTACTAGCTTGGTAACTTCTTTGACTCATGAAACTCCCTGAAACTCTTATTGTTAATTTGTTGTAATGGCTTTATAATGAACGAAATTAACTTGTTATTCATATAGTCTCTATTATAGATCGTTTTCTTCAATTTCCACATAAGAAAGAAACACAAAAACTTCAATTTTTTGGTCAAAATATTTCATTCTGTTTACCTGAAATTTCCTAGTTTTAGTCCAAAAATCGGTGATAGTTAAGATCAAGTTCAATTTATCTGAGTAGAAACTTAAGTGCTAAGTTTCTACTAGTTTCTCGGTTGTATTTTTGGGAGACATAAGCTCAAACAAAATCTCAATTGCTTACAATTGGGGAACGATCTTTTTTTTTTTTCAAACAGTTATCAGTTCATGCCTTTCACTATATAAGTTCACACTTGGTATCTTTTGAAGTTAATGCAATTTTACGCACTCATAGTATAATTGCTAAATCTCATTTCTTTATATTTATTCTCGGTGCTCCTACACTATTGTAACTAACATATTCCGTCTATGCCACACCAAAATATACATTACAAGTTGACTAACTTCACCATCAAAGTGTTAGTTGTCGACTCTCCCAACATCGAAGAAGGTCATATGCTTCTAATGGTTTGTCCAGTATACTGGAGCTAAACACGTGGACGTGAGTAGAGTCGAGATTTGATAGCCATATCATAGATTAAAAATTGAGGTCCACAGATTGGCATCATATGTAGGAAGTCACACTATTTACCAGAAATAAATCCAGAGAGAAAAACAGACCCAAAAGTGTATTTACTTCCCACTTGAAAAAGGTTTTATTTTTGAATAAACAAGTGGAAGTTTTGAAGAAAAAATTCCAAGTATCCTTCATTTGTGGGTGTTTCAAGATTTCCTTGAAAAATGACAAACTTTGAAGAGAAAAATGTACTCAAAAGATCACCTCATTGAATAAAAGATGCATTTCCTATCCTATACTGGCCCCGTTTGGTACACATTGATATAAAAATGAGAATGAAAAATATAGTCGTTACAAGCCCCACACAAAAGAGAGAAAGTCAAATATAGTAGTTTGATATGATAGATAACAATCATATTATTTTATTTTAATGGGCAAAAAATGAAAAACAAACGGGAGCTATTCTAAAAGAGCCACTTTGTGTGGCACTATTCTTAAAAAATCGTGCCATTCTTCTATTTGTCCTCTTTCTTTTCTTTTTCTTCCTCCAAAAAATGACATCGTTCTCTTTCTTTCTTAGAGTCTGTTTGGGATTAATTTTGAGAATTGATTTTTTGGCCGTTAGGAGAAAAGTGAAGTCCACCTGTGAGAGAAGAAGTCAAATATGACGGCTAAAATAGTAAAATAACGATAAAAAAAATCAATTTTTGGGGTGAAAAAATAGGGCCCAAATGGGCCCTTACTTTTCTCACATGCCAAATTAAAGACCTTTCAACTTTTACTGTCTTTTCCTCCCACACAGAATAATTACTCCCACCTTATCTTCTCTCACACATCAATCTCCTTTTGGCTTATGCAATTTTCCTTTCCAATTCCCTTTCTCTCTCTTTCCCTTTCTTCGACTAATGCCCCGTTTGAGCCTCATTATTTGTAGATTATAATGAGATGAATATTATTTTTTTGAAAAATGAGTAGTTGAAAAGTTTTTAATTTACTTGTAATATTATTTTATTGAAGATTATGTGATTAAAAGTAAGAGAGAGAAAAATTTAATTTAATGTAATGAGAAATAATGGGGCTCAAACGAGGGCTAAATCTCTCGCCACCAATTCCCCCTTGGTATCTCTGGAATGTTCCATTATATATACATACATATATAAATAATGGGAAAGAGAGAGAGACTGGGTTGGAGGATAGAGAGGGATTAAGGATTAAGTGCAGGAAATCCACATTCTTCTTTTCTCTCTCGATTGAAAATGGCATTCCAATTGCAAACTGGCCCAGATTTTTCCACCAAAGAAGCAAACCTAAAGGAGGAATTGCGAGAATCTAAATTCTTCGGCATTAATTGTTGGTTTTTTTTTGAACTACCAGTGTTTCTAGAATCAACTACCTCATGACTAGGAAAGGGTATCAATGCTAGAGAAAGAGCAAGAGAGCACCGTAGGTTTTTGATTGCTCATTTTCTTTTAGGATGCCCAAATAATTATTCTTTTAGAATTGATTAGTTTCTTTGTGATATCCTTTTGCTTTTTTCCTATTTTAACTTTTGAGGAGTTCCATTTTATGAAAATATTTATGTCCCTTTTTTCATCATAAAGTAGTTTTTACTCTTTTTGCTTCATAGAACAAGATGTTACAATTAAGGTTTTTTAATTATCTTTTATTTGCTATTTAAATGCTTGAGCAGTAAATTCTATGAGGAATTGAGAAATAAAACAAGGTGACAGTGACAACTTATTTTCTTTATTTGTATTTTATTTAACGGTTTGATTTTATTATCAGCCTGGGAGTGATTTTTTGGCCCAAAAAATTGATTTTTTTTACCGTTATTTCACTATTTCAGCCGTCATATTTAATTTCTTCTTTCATAGCGTACTCCACTTTTAATCAAAAAATCAATTCTCAAAATGACTCCCAAATAGCCTCTATATCTTTATCGTGGCTCATCTTTGATTGTGTTTTATATGTGTCTGACTATAAGGATGCAAGGTACTTCAAGAACAAGTTGCAAAGAAGGCAGCACAAGTTGCAAGGGGTGCCTATGCTAGAGGTAAAAACAACAAGAAATAGAAAATTTTCTTGTTCATGAGTTTCACAATATATATTTTTTTGCTTATAATGAGCTTAATGTAGTTTCTCCATTCATTTTATGTTTAATATCTAAGAATTAGCTTATTAACAATGTAAAAATAAAATTGAGATATTTGTTTGTTTTTCAATTTTAAAAGTTGCTACATTTTAGAATTTTTTTTTGAATCGCATAATTAAAATTTCAGGTATGTTGAGCTTTCATTTGATTTTGTTTGGTTTGGTTCCCTGATTCGATTTTTATACAAGAATATAGCATCCATTGATTGTGTAGCGATATTAGGAGTTGGAGTTCTAATGTCATCTTCTTTTGTGTACATAAAGGCTTTACATTATTCTATTTGATTTTATTTTGCAATCCTTGTATTTCGAAGCAGTCTATTATTTGTCTCTGATTATTAAAAATACTCTTTTTTATTACATTTCTATTCAACAAGTCTAATTTCAAATCCTTAAACAATCTCTCCTTAGCTTTACGGTTCCCCTATCATTTTAAAATTAGAGTTTCATTCAAGAAAACCTTTTCATCATTCTAGACAGCAGAAGGTGATTGATTCTCAAATTGTTGGGAAAATAATAATAGTGCATTGCAACCCAAAATTGATATATAAACATGGAGAAAAAGAAACATAGACGATCGATGCATTTCAAATATAAGCTATTCAAAGCATACATGGCACATCATTAAAGAATCAGTCGAGTGTGAAAATATTCATTCACTTCCCACATGTACTGGTTTTGGAAGATGAAGATTCTTTTGTTTAGGACATCTGCAAAGATTACATTGACAAATTTTTAGTACGAGTTTTATGGATAAATAAAGTACGAAGTGCTATATTTGGTCCTGATTTGCAGAATATATATCGAGCATCCCCACAGAGAAAAAGCTGAGTTAAAGATGAAAAATTCCAAGCAAAGAATGCTGTTTATGTGCTTCGAAAATCAAGAAAGGTAAATGTGATAATTTCTTTCTGCTGTTATATTGGGAATTACTACCAGAAAATGTCTTTGGATTTTCTTTTCTCTTTAGAAATTGTGGAGCTTAGAGTTGTGAACTTCATTAAGCCATTTTATTGATATTCGATAGACAATCTAGATTGAATTTATTCATTTGCCTGCTTTTTCTTTTGTGGACCGACAATATCTAAAAGATAGAAACAATAGACAACATCTTCTGCAGGAAAGGAGAAGACGTTTTGCTAGTGAGTTGGGCTTGGGTTTGAAAGGCCTGTTATTTGAGGATCTTTACAGTGAAAAGTAACTCTTGAAGAGCTCTGAAGATAGCTTACAGCCCTAAATCCTGCATAATGTGTATCTCCTCGCACTTAGAATTGTGCTCAGATATGAACTGTTGTACGTTTCAATTCATAATGTAATCTGTAACCCTAGATACTATTGAAGAGAGCCTCATTTATGAATCCTATTACATTATTCTTACTTTTTGAGGTACAATTGCATTTGGTTATAATGATTAATTTGATGTTCGCAAGAAAATCTAGTGGAAATATTGTTTATTTTATATTAAAATTATCTGCCTGGTTGGGGCGCTACTTAGCTGAATGTAATTCGTTGGTATCTTGAACTTTTAGATTGCCTGTGATAAAATATGAGTATATTGGATATAGCTAGAATGAAGCTTGCTCTTACAATTTTGTATCTGAACAAAGTTGAAGCTAGGACAAGATATGCAAGGCAATCCAATATGGTTCAAAATTTGTAAGTAATGGGTAGCCAGGCACGGCTCAAAATGTCGACAAATCCACCAGCTTGTCGTGAAAATGATTACGTCTGTTCAAGTTAAGCTCTACCCCGATGTTTCCAGCTGTTGTGAGACATACATGTTTACATTGTATACTCTTGTGGTGTTTGAAGGTGAGGTTGTGTTGAACACTTTAACCTACATTTGATTTTGTTTACCCAAATATCCTTATATAAGGACATATGAACGAATTTAAGGCCAATTCAATTGAATCAAAATCCAAGGATCAAATTTGATTTATAAATCTATGGTTCCATGATGATCTTCCGGCATATGATGGTATTGAGTTACGCCTCAAACGTGATGGTAGCCGTTATAATCTCGTAGGTCGGACTAGCCATCATCGAGATACTGTGGATTATACATCTGACTTTGACACTGTAGGTTCAGGAAAGTATGAAGACCGAAAAATATTCTAGGCAAAAATCAAATATAGACACAGATTTGTAAAAACAGTAAAGAGAACACAAGATTTTTCGGCCGAAGCCCCGAGGTTCAGCGATTTAACAAATCGCCTAGTCCCCGTTGAGCATCCATAAGGAATAGGCTCAAATCCACTAAAATCACCGGCCAAATACCACAAACTTCGATTACAAATGGAACACACAGTTCCAACCACAGTAACTATCGAAAACCCTCAACGCCGAATTGAACTCACACAAGAGTTCATAAAGATTCAATCTCTTTACAGAAAACTACACAAAGATCCAAGAGAGAATCGCTCATTTACAGAGAGAATAATATGAAAAGTATAAAAGCTGCGCGAGAGAGAGAGCGAGAGAAAGCACTCAAACCCTAGAGTTTCCTTTTATAAGAGAGATGCCCCATTTTTTATCCAACGGTCTTCATTTTGCCAGGTGTCAAAAAACTAGTATAAGTTATTATTTTAAAACTAAAAACGCGTTTTCTCAAATCCAATTCAAGCTTCGAGATTCTTCCTTCATTTGGACCGGGTATGGGCCAAATCATTGAATTTGGGTTGGGCTTCCACATAAAAACAGCAACCCCTTTCTACATTCTCCACCTTTACTGTTTGTGCCTACTTTAATGTGGATTTAAGCTTATACCTCAATTTCATTTGCTCTTATTACCTGTAAAAACAGAAATAATGGAAGTTAGTCTTCTTCAAGATTAATTAATCTTAAAGAATCAACAAACTTACTAATAGGGATTACCTTAGTTCCGGCATCTGCTGGATTTACCTTAGTAGGTATTTTTATTAGTCTAATATCACCCCTATCAATAATATCTCTAATAAAATGAAACTTTACATCTATATGTTTTGATCTGTCATGTAGGATAGGATTTTTACTTAGAAAAATAGCACTTTGGTTGTGTGAACATAGCTCCACCTGATTTTCTATTAGACCTAATTCACTGAGTAAACCCTTCAGCCACAATCCTTCTTTCACTGCTTCCGTTGCAGCAATGTATTCAGCCTCGGTTGAGGACAATGCAACAAGTTTTTGAAGCTGAGATTTCCAGCTCATGCATGTATCACTTATTACATAAAAGTATGCAATTGTGGACTTTCTATTGTCAGGATTACCAGCAAAATCTGAATCTACATATCCTTTAAGTCTAAATCCATTTTTGTTTGTTTTGAACATTGGACCTAAGTTATTTGTTCCTTTCAAGTACTTAATCAGATTTTTCATACATAGCCAATGTATTTCACCTGGATTACTCATGAATCTACTTAACATGCTCACGGCATAAGCAATATCAGGTCTAGAGCAAACCATAACATACATCACAGATCCAACAACATTAGAATAAGGCACATTTATCATTCTTTTATGCTCTTCTTCAGTTTTAGGCGATTGCCCAACAGATAGTTTCATACCAGCAAATAGAGACAAGCTTACAGGTTTAGACTCATGAAGGGAGTACCTTTTTACAACCTTATCAATATAAGATTTTTGTGTTAGAAACAACTTTCCATTAATTCTATCTCTTCTTATTTCCATGCCCAAAATCTTTCTTGCTGGTCCTAAATCTTTCATTTCAAATTTAGATTTTAGATTTTCTTTAATTGAGTTAAGTGTAACAGAATTGTGACCAGCAAGGAGCATATCATCAACATACAAAAGTAGATAGAAAAAATCAGATTCCCCTTCTTTCTTGTAATAGAAACAGGGATCATATTCTGATTTTCTAAAGTTCAAGCCTTGTATAAAAGAGTCAAATCTTTTATACCACTGCCTAGGGGCCTGTTTCAGGCCATATAAGGATTTCTTTAAGAGACACACTAAGTTTCCCTTTCCTAACACTTCAAACCCTCTTTGTTGAGTCATATGTATGGTTTCATCTAAAGAACCACACAGAAAGGCAGTTTTCACATCAAGTTGTTCTAACTCCAAATCAAATTGGGTCACTATAGCAAGTAGGACTCTAATGGATGTATATTTAACAACCGGTGAAAAAATTTCGTTGTAATCTATCCCTTCCCTTTGATTAAAGCCTTTAGCTACAAGTCTTGCCTTAAACCTCTTATCACTAACCTTTGTCTCACCCTCTTTAATCTTATAAACCCATTTATAGTCAATCAACTTACAATCTTTGGATTTTTCAACTAAAGTCCAAGTTTCATTCTTAAAGAGTGAGTTCATTTCATCTTCCATTGCAGCAATCCACTTAGGGGATTCTTTAGAAGATATAGCCTCTTCATAAGAGGCTGGTTCTAGGTCAAACTGATATAATTTAGTTTGATCTGATGCGAAATCAGCATGTTGATACCTGGTTGGAGGTCTTATTTCCCTCCTTTCTCTGTCCCTAGCAAGTTGGTAGCCCTGCAGATCATGTGCAGGCCCCAGATGCTGTTCATTTTCAATTATTTCAGCATTAGAATTATTTTAGGGTACTACCTGATGTGGCTCCACCTCAAGCTGAGCCTGGTCATCAGTATTGTGGCTATCAAAATTAATTTATGTGATAATGAAGTCATCCTTTCCCAATTTCTCTCTGGATTTGTCACTAAGACAAGGGAAATCATCTTCATTAAAGATAACCGATTTGCTTTTTATCACCTTATAACCCCTCACATCTCTTAACCACAATCTATAGCCTTTAATCCCTTTTCCATATCCTAAGAACACACCCTTCAATGATCTAGGGTCCAATTTTGTCTCAGTATGATGTGCATAAGCTGCACATCCAAAAGTTCTTAGATGAGAGTAATCTGGCATTGAACCAGACCAGATTTGTTGGGGAATTCTATTATTTAGAGAGCTGGAGGGGCATCTATTTATAAGATAACATGCTGTTTTTACAGCTTCACCCCAGAAAAATTTTGGAAGGTCAGAACTGATTAGCATACATCTGGTCCTTTCAAGAATTGTCCTATTAAACCTCTCAGCAACTCCATTCTGTTGTGGAGTATAGCTCACAATTTTATGTCTCATTATCCCTTGTTTACTGCAATATTGGTCAAATTCTGTATTGCAGAATTCAAGGCCATTATCAGTTCTTAAAATTTTTATCTTCTTACCAGTCTGATTTTCAATTAGAACACTCCATTCTTTGAAAATTGCAAAAGTATCAGATTTGGATTTTAGTAAGAAAATCCATGTCTTTCTTGAGTAGTCATCGGTTGTAAGAAGATAATATCTGTAACCAGATACAGTAGAAACAGGTGCTAGTCCCCATAAATCAGAATGTATGTATTTAAGGACATCTTGGGATTTGTGCAGTCCAGCCTTAAAAGGCAGTCTTACATGTTTTCCCAAAATACAGTGTTCACAAAAGGTCAATTTCTGAACACTGTCTTTTCCAAATGCCCCTTGACATGATAATGTTTTTAAACCTTTTTCACTTAAGTGGCCAAGTCTTTTATGCCACAGTTCTGATTTATCGGGTTGTGTGACAGAGTTCACAGAATTTTTTGTTGAAATGGTTTCAGCACCTATTACATAGATTCCATTAAGCTTAGGAGAACTGATAATGTGTTCTTGATTTCTCATTATATTTGTAAATCCATTTTTAATACCAATTTGATAATTTTCATCATCAAGAACTCCTAGGGATATGAGATTTTTTCTAAGTGCTGGTACATATCTTGTGTGTTTTAATAATATGTGATGACCATTTTTAAATTTCAACAGCACATATCCAATTCCCTTAACTTGGCATGACTCATCATTCCCAAGTTTTACAAATCCTCCATCCAGACTACAAAAGTCTGAGATGCAATTAATATTGGGTGTCATATGAAAGGAACACCCTGAGTCCAAGACCCAGTCCTAATCAGTATTCTCAGATATAAATGCATAGGCTACTCCAATATTAGCTCCTGCTTCTTTATAATTAGCAGCAACAGCTAAAGAAGCATTTTCAGTATTAGACCCATTCTTTTGGTCATTTGCCCTTTTAAAACAGTCTTTAATAAAGTGTCCTATCTTTCCACAATAAAAGCATTTTCTGTTAGTGTTGCTGTTTTGTTTTCCTTTGATTGGTTTCTTGCTTTTTCCTTTGGTGTTATTTCACTGTCTTTTGTTAAAAAATTTATTCTTGTTAAAATTGGAATGACTGAAGTTACTTACTCCTTTAGGATATGTTTTTGATTTGATGACATACCCTCAACATGGTACACTTCTTTGTGTTCAGATTTTAATTCAAGTTCTTTATTCAGAAGAGAACTGTGTATTATTTCAACAGTGAGATCACTCCTATCATACTCTAGAGCATTTCCAATATCTTTATATTTATCTCCTAGAGCATTA